GCACCTTTTCCCCAGCTGTCTGCAGAGCCCCTGCGTGCTGGTAATGCTCTATAAATACATTAGCACTAAATAATGAATGACCTGGCTGGGCATTAAAGTGTAAACAGGAGGTGAAGGGCTCTCTCCCATTACCGGTCCCCCGAGAGCCACTCACATCCCTCTCTCCAAGCCCCGGCTCGATGTGACTCCAGCTGCAGAGCCCTTAGTCACAGCACTGACAATGTCATAGATCAGTGGCTCCATGGTTGGGAAAAACAAGCTAGAAATAGTCCAGAGGGCACAGTCTCCCTCCCCATGCCATGATGGGTTTGCTTGCCTCAGCATTTTTGCCCGTGATGTTTGTTCCTCAGGCTGCACGGACCGGCCCTCCCAAGGAGTCAGAGTCCCCTCCGTGGCACTCTCCATTCCCTGAAAGCTTGGGAATGCCCCTGATTTGAGAGGTTTTATCCCCTTTGGATGTAGCAGAAGCTGTGCCAGCTGGATATGGTCCCTAAAAATCGAGGTGGCTCCATTCCCAACATAGGGGTGGGGTGGGGAGAATTGTCCCCATCACCATGAGGATCGTGCCCACAGCCGGTCCCAAGAACGTCATGGACACCCACCTGAGGTGCAGAGAGAAAGGAAGATGAAATGAATTTATGGGTGTGACGTGGGATCATTTGGGGAGGGGTCTCCTGTGCTAGAGAGGTTACAGGGGGCTGATCACAGGCATTCAGTCTGTGTTTGCTCAGCAGGGGGGTCCTGTGCTGCTTCAAAAGGGTCCTCCCATCCCCAAATAAAAGCAAGCCCTCCTGTCACCAGCTGTACGTGATCCATCCCGGGGCCCACCACCCTCCTGGTGAGGAGAATGGGGCCTGGAGAACCAGGCAGTTGGCTCAGAGCCCTTCTCCTCCCACAGCCTTGCTCTGCCAGAGCTGGGCACTAATACATCAACGGGCTGCAAACAGCTCGGGAGTGGCTCTGCTTCAGGAGGGAGGGAAGGGATGAGCTCTTCATCTGCTCAGCTTTCACAGGAGCCTCACGCTGGGATGGCATCTGGGAGCTGGGCCAGGTGGCACTGGGGCAGCCACCAGCAGAGCCAGAGTGTCACGGTCTGGCCGTGCTCTTGGGAGGGGATCTGGAGGTGGGCAGGGTGTGTGTCCATGGAAGGAATCCTTCCTGCAAGGGTGGGGAGGCCCTGGCACAGTGTGCCCAGAGAAGCTGTGGCTGCCCCTGGATCCCTGGAAGTGTCCAAGGCCAGGTTGGAGCAATCTGGGACAGTGGAAGGTGTCCCTGCCTGTGGCAGGGGGTGGGACTGGGTGAGCTTCAAGGTCGCTTCCAACCCAAACCATTCCATGATTCTGTGATCTGTGCATTTGAGCTGCTAGAAGAGGAGGGGAAGAATATCCCCCCATAACATTTCATGTGCATTTTACCTCCCACCCATCCCCACAGCCAGGACCAGTCTGCAATGGCAAGAGTGACTATATTTAGTAAGGCAACATAGGCCGTGAACATACACTCAAAAATTATAATAAATAGGATTACTGGAATGCAGTGGACACCCACCTCTGTCCATCACTGATTCCCTGATGTGGCTAAACTAGCTGATAACAGTGGTGCTGTTTAATTATCTGCCTCATACCTTCTGGCTGCTGCAGGATGGGTAATTAGGCAAAGGGCTCCAAATTGCTCCTCCACTGTATTGTCTCCCTCATGGTTGCAGAAACCCCCACTCCCCAGAGCCCTTCAGACCTGCTTGTCTTTCTGTATTTCACTGGAAATCAGCTGTTATGGTGGTTGTGATTGTTGTGGGGTCGGTTATTATTATTAGTAATAATAATAATAATAATATATTTCCTGCTTTTCAGGGTGACAAATCCACTTGCAGAGTTTAACGAGTGGCTTGGAAACCATGTGTCAGTGACACGGGCTGCTGGAGAAGATGAGCAGGATGGTGGTGGAGCTTTATTGCCAGGCAATGGCTGGTGCAAAGCTGCCTGAGCATCCCAAATTCTCAAGCCA